AAACAACGTGAACCTTTTGGAGCCATGACTAAAAACGGGATCCCAAAATGGGAAAACCAACAGGTCGCAAAGGTCGGCTTTGGACAACTGAGGGTTGGAACTCAAACTGATTGATGGTTGAAACTCGGGGTTGATCTGCCTGATCACCTCTGACCCTTGGCCGCCTTCTATTCCCAAGGTCGACTCTGAAGCGAATGAAACTGAATGATTGTTTCAACAGATCCCGGAGAACTGCATTAATCAGACTGTCCATCAGATTTCGGAAACGCCAATACACAACTGTGGCATCCTTTGACCACCTCTGTGTTGCAAAAGCCCGGCACGATGACATGATCTGCTCAAAAGCCTACCTTCCGCAACTCACTCTGCCATGTGTTTGCCTAAGTCAACACATCAAACGACAAACCCAAGGCCATGCGCGTGCCAGGGACCCCTATCTGGCCGGAGCTCAGTGCCGATGTTCTTCCAAATGGGCTGGTCGTCTGTGCCGCCCTCAACCGGCTGGTAGGTGCAAATCCTCGGTAGGGCAAAAACACCAAGACTCGGTTGCTTTCTGCTCCCCTGCTAAATGCTTGACTTTGAGTGGTTTAAAATGGGAAAGCACATTAGTTGGCAAACAGTTAAAGTCCTAACATCCAAGCAACATGCACCAAAGAAAACTGAGCCCTGAAGACACGAAGAAGGAGTCAGGCGATTGTCGATCAATTGCCAAGGTGTTGATGGCCACCGGCAAAACTTGACCGATGGCAGCAGGGACATTCAAGCCTTTGCCAACCTGAACACTGTCTTTCCCTCTGTGTCAAGAAGCATCTCGCGATTGGGCAGCACTGTGTAGAGTGGCAGGTCGTATCTGCGAGTGGCAGGCTTGCAAGGAAACCCCGAGAACTTTCCCTAGAGCAAGCAAAAACCAAAAGCAAGAAAGGAATCCAAACAGTTCATGCAGCAAGAGTCTAAGAGAAGGGTGGAGCATGGTGGAGCACCAAAAACAGTGGCTCGTTCAGTAGTCGGCAACTATGCCATCAAAAGTGCAGTTCGCTTCCAGGCTTCACCATCGCGAAGGCGTTTGATGGCGTTTGCCTTTGACCTTGGCGTGAACAGGGGCAATGAGCTGCCGCATGTCCAGGACCCCACAGCAACAAACCACCACTGCTAAATCCGCGGGGTTTTGCCAAAACTCCACAACGTTGCTTGGGCTACTTGAACTTCAAGATCCGCCCACAATGCCTGGATGTCCGCTTGGCTTGGTGTCCCTTGAAACAGTAGTCGGGGGCCTTGCCCCGCAAATAAATTGCTTCATACATACCCCCCACCCTACATTTTGTTTCATCTTCCATCTTCTACCCTTATTCGTTTTCATCATTTTTCTACATTCCTTTCTGTCCATCTCATCCGTTTTTTTATCATCATTTTTCCAAAATTTTCGCCATCCTTTTCTCCTTCCTCCTCGCCTCATTCATTTCATCATATACCTCTCAAAATGTCATTTCCTCAATCTCCTCACCTCATCCATTTCAAAAAAATAAATTTTGCAAAATATATTGCAAAAAATATTTGTCATCAAAAAAATATTCGAACTGTCTAAAAACGATTTGTCCATTTCCCGGACAAAAAATAGAACAGCAACAACATCACTCTCCTCCTTCGTTTCATCACTTTTATCATATATTTTTTTGGGGCGTGGTGTCCCTTGTAGGATTTTATGTTGGGTTTCTCACCGGCACCGCACCGGCTACGACTTCGTCCACTTCATCTTCGTTATGTGCGCCCTGTCGTGTTTGTGAGCTCAGAAGTACATGCTGTGAAGTGTCAGACGATGTTGCTTGAGTCAGATGTTGAACCGTTGAGCTTGATTTGTACTCAAGTGCCGGTATCCTATCTTGCCCTTTTTCGGGCTGTCATCCATGGCGCTCTTCTTCTTGCAGAACTCAGAGGAAGTGAAAGCGTTTCAGGTTCGGAGTGGTCAGGTGGTGGCAGATGTAAGCCAGTTGGAAGTTGAACTGCCTTCTGCCGAAGCTTTGGCAAAGTTGCCAAGGAAGTCATTGACAGACATCCTTTACAATTTGAACATCAGGATGACCAATGTCGCCAAGGCAAATCGTGAAAAGCTTGCTGAAGAGATGGTGAAGCAGTTCTCCAAAATCAAGTCGGCTGCCAAGAAGGCTACACCTACCCAGCCATCTTCTTCCAGCAATGAGGCACCGGTTGAGAGCGATTTGGATGTCCCGACGTCTGGGAACAACAACGAGTTGCTTGGCGATGATGGCCAACAGTCCGTCTCGGTTCTGGATGAGTGGCATGGTGCTTCCGGTGATGAGATGCCAGAGTCTCTCCCTGAGGAAGATGAGGAGGACATTGAAGCCACTACGGTTGATGAGCCTTCTTGTCCGGCATCGGTATGGACGGAAGACAAGGAAGCTTCCCTTGCCTTGCTGGAGTTGTTGAACTCTCGCCCGGGTATCAATGTGAATTCTCATGAGCTCATGGAGCTTCGCCGGGAAAAGGCGCGGGCTATGAAGCCTACCAATGATGAAAATGAGGACTATGAGCGCATGGTGAGCACCTTGAAGAGCGAAGGGTTGTGGGATAAGACCATCATTGTGCGCTACACCATCACCGCAGAGAACGGCGTCACCAAGACAAAGCGTGTGCCGGTGGCATGGACAAGCACTACGAGCGTGGATGACCTTTACAATGAAGTCGCCAAGTACATGGGTGTGGAAACCAACGCCATCAGGCTATTCCATGGTGGCAAGCACATGAGTGAGCTCTATCGCCGTGTTGCTGAGTATGCCATTGAGGAAGACAAAGAGGTAGTGGTGGGTGTCAATTTGAAAGGCGGAGGTGTTCAGAGGACGATTGTCAAGAAGAAGCAGAGAGCGGTGGTGTCAAAGGAAGGCTTTGAGAAGAGCCTTGAAATCGCCACTCGCGTTGATGCCATGACAAGTGCGTCTTTCGGCACACACCTTGACAACCTTTCCACAAAGGACTTGGAGGAGATTGGAGATGACTTTGCCCACGGCAAGGGCAACATTCAGGTCAAGTTGCGCAATCTCATCAACTACAGTGCCGAGTATCAGCAGATTCTGTCGACAATGGAATGCCTTGAAGACACCAAGAGCAAAATGCTTGATAGCATGTTGGAAGCCATTGCCACAGAGTGTGCTGACGCCAAGGGCAATTTCAAAGTTGTCAATCTGAAGCACATGATTTCGGTAGCCTTGGGCATCAGAATGAAGATGACCACACAGTCTCGCCAGAATGCGTCTCATAATATGGCGCTTGGCTGAGTTTCACCATGCTATGTCAATCACTCCTGAGCACAGCGTAACTCATCCATGAGCATATGTGAGCACTCCTGTGAGCATATGCGAGCACTCCCTTGAGCATATGTGAGCACTCTTTTGAGCATATGTGGGCACTCTTTTGAGCATATGTGCGCACTTTTGGAACCATGGATGAGCAGGATGAGTGGCATTGGCAAGTGGGAAACCTACGCATATCCATTGCTTTTGGACGAAAAGCGTTTTTTTCTTGGAGTGCCGTGTGGTGTTTTTCCGGAGTGCGGTGTGGCGCTGGTTTTCTAGACAGTTGAGCTTGTTGCCACATTTCTGCCCGCAGGTATCTACTTCCTGTGCTACCTGTGCCGGTCCGGAGCCTTGCACGGAGCCTTCGGGTGTGTGTGTGTTGTTTATTGCTTGTTTGGCGCGAGTTCGTGTGTGTTTGGGTTTCTTAGGTTGCCCTTTTGGATTTCCCTCTCGACGTTTTTTTGGGGGTGTGGCTATGTTTGGTTCTTTTCTGGGTGGGCGGGGATACTTTTGATATAATATATATATAAGGGGAAACTCTCGCCAATTGCCAAACAGGGCAGGAAAAATTGGCGAGAGTTTCCTGATATATCTATATGAATATTGGTGTTTTCTAAATTTGATAAACTATGGATATTCCCCTTAAAATTCATTATTTTCAAATTTTAGAATTCCTATTTTTTACTGTGTTGTCGTTGGATGAACCTAGAAATTTCAAGTTTCAAGCCCAACCCCAAACTCAAAATCCTTAATCCGTCAAACTCACTAAGATTTCACAAATTAATTCGCTAGGTATTTTATATAAATCTTCCTGTTTATGTATTGTTGGATTGTCTCCCCATTTTTCCTTGGTGCCCGATGGTAGCCGTTGCGCTGTTTCAATATGTTTATTATTCCTGATGTTGCCACAATCCTTTTTACATAATTCTCTAGGTTTCCAAGTTGTAATGTTATTCCAAAGCCTAGTGCGTTTTCTGTAATTAAATCCATACTTACAGTAATCTACATCTTTAAAATCAAACTCATCCATAAACTCCTGATGTTTTAATAATCCAGTTTGTGGATTTTCGATTACAAAATATTTAGGATTAAATATTTGATAATCTCAATAGTTTTTAAGACAATACTATTTGCATATTCGATATTCCTAATTCCCCTAGTTTTTGCTACACTATATTCAGTGCATGGGGGACTACTCCAAATAAAATCAAAATGGTTTCTGTCAAACTGTTTGTAATCCCACTCCAAAATATCAGTGTTGATATCAGCATTTTTCAAGTCTAATGATATCACATTAAATCCAAGCGACTTTGCTATGGTTCCGACGCTTTTTGTTCCGCTAAATAATTCTAATAAATTCATTTATTAGAATTATTTAGATATTAATTATTCAAATAATACATATACTCCATCATCATTTTTTGTAATTTTATAAAACTCTAATGTTTGTTGCTTTGGTTGTTTGATTTTTCCTGTATTCAACATATCACAGTATTTCTTTTGCTTTGTAGGGTAGTCGCCCGATGGTCTTCCTATAGATTTTGCTTGAAATATCTTATCGATTTTCTCCTTCTCTTCGTTGCTTTGTTGTTCGCGTTCAACTGGTTTCATTTTGTCATCAATGGATTTAATCATATCATTTAAGTTTTTGATATTTTTACCAATTAATGTTATCTTCTTCATTAAATCATTAATAGTATAATTCTCATTTTCAGACATTACTATATATTTATTTAGATATTTATTTATTTAATTATATATTTTTCATCATTTGTTTAACAGTTTCCTGTGTTTCGTTTTCATTATTATCGGATGGTGTTGCTTGCCTACCAAATTTAAAAGTTATATTATGAACATCCGTTTCCAGATTTATACTGTCTTTAGTTTTATCAATATTCATTTTCTTATCATTTTTACTTATTTTGAAACTTGTTGGAATACATGAACATTTACAATTTTTATTATTTTTTATTTCTATCTCATTTTTAAGTTCTAACATCTTTTTGCACATAGGACAAGCAACCTCAATTACTGCTGTTTCTTTAACAATTTCTCCGCTATCTTCATCTGTTGAAGAAACACTTAAACCTGTCTTATGTGTGTTTTTCTTTTTCTTTTTCACCATTTATATTAATATTTACATTTTTATTTTTGATATATTGTATTCCTAGCTTAAGTATTTCTAATGAATAATAACAACATTTCTTAATTTTATTATCAGTTATTATTACTTGTTCTATATTTTCTAGTTCATCTATTATATTAATGTAATTTGAATAACTTCTATTCATATAAATAAGAAGATAAAATAGTTATTTAATCTTATTATTGTCATGCATAATAGAATATTGGTGGGGCACAGCACTTGGGGTTTTCTTTGCAACGCATCAAACTAATTAGCTTCAATGCTTATTGATTGAAGTTGATGAAAGAGCCTGTTCTACTACGATAGTCACCATTCATATCATAGCAATGCTTTCATACAATAAATAATATTAAATTATTTTCTAAATATGTTTAATATCAATTATGACAGATGTTCCAATAATAAAACCAATAAACATAACTGAATATGAATTCAAACAATCTAAATATGAGCACGTGCCAAAATTACCATTTAGAAGTATTATAGTTGCTTCTTCGACAGGCGGTAAGACTGTCCTTATTCAAAATCTAATATTGAATGTTTATAGAAATTCATTTGCAAGAATATTTATATTCTCACCCAGCGTCCATAACGACCCTACATTTACAGAAGTTAAAAAATATATCAGGGACGAATTGCACGTGGATGATGAAAAAGAACAAATTTATTTTGATAATTATAATCCAAGTGATTTAGAAAATGTAATTGAAAGACAGAAGAAAATTATTAATTATATGAAATCTAAAAAGATAAAGAAACTGCATTCAATATTAATTGTGATAGATGACCACGCAGACGACCCTAAATTTGTTAGATATAGTAAATTATTACATGGATTATTTACAAGAGGTAGGCACGATGCAGTAAGTGTAATTTGTTCAACACAAAAATACAATGTTTTAGCGCCTATCATTCGTTTAAATGCCAGTTCATTATATATTTTTAGGTTGAAAAATGCCAGTGAATTAATGAGTTTTATTGAAGAAAATAGCGCCATTGTTGATAAACAGCAATTATTAGATATGTATCGTCAAGCCGTTAATTTTGCTCCATATTCTTTTTTCTACGTGAATATGAATTCAAAAGACATTAACAAAATGTTTCATATCAATTTTGAACAGGCATTTCAAATTACAAATGATGAATAAAGAAATTATAATTTAATATAATATAATAATATGCCAATGAAACTATGTAGATGTGGTGGATTGTATCGTAGAGGTAATTATAATTTTCATACTAATTCTTGGATACATAAACTTTATAAAGTGTTAAAAAGACGACCAACAGACGAGGAATTATTAAGATTTCAAAATAATTTTGTTGATGAAGACGCTTCGCCAGAGGCTCGCGAGCTTCGCGACGATTTAATAGATGATAGATGTAGCAATGCCTCAACAAAATTACCCGAAAGTGAAATGACAGATTATGATAGCAATTAATAATATTAATTATGTTTTAATATTATCAATTTAAATTAACGAAGCATTGCAAAATTGTAAAGCAGGAAGTTTATATATTAATTTGTCAGAGTTTTCTTTTTCTAATTTCTCAATTCGTGCCACACATTCTTGAATAGATTTTATTATTAAAGTATCTGCTCTTGTTTTTTCATCTACTCTTAAAGTCTTAATGTCTTCAATACTGTTATTTGCATCATTTTTACTTTGACCAATACCCATTATATATAATATTATTTAGATTTTAATTTTTCAAAATTATCTTTTTGTTTTTCTTCTTCTTCTGAATCTTCGTCTTCAGTTGGTGCTGGTATTTCTGTTGGACTTTCAGATGAAGAACTATGGACAGTAATAGGTGGAGAACTATGAACACTAATAGCTTCATTTGATGAATTGCTACTGCTACCTTGTGCATTTCCTGCTGTTATTTGATTAACTAAATCTGCGAGATTTATTGTTGTTGCAATTGCGGTATGTGATAAGTTTAATATTATATCTGCTACTGTAGCGCCGTTGTGTAGCATTATTTCTATCATTTTTGTCAGTTTGAACTTCTTTTCTTCTTCATCGCTGTCATCCTCGTCTGGTGGTTTCTTTGGCGGTGGTTCTGGCGGTTTGTTGTTGTCAAGCATTTCAGTAAAGGCTGACACCATTGCGTCGCGTTGGTTTTTCAATGTTTGTGTTGCCTGTGTTCTTGTTGGCTCATTTCTTTTGTATGTGTTGTGCCAAAAGTTTTTAAGCATTATTTTAAACATATTGTCCTGGTTTTCCTTTACCTTAAACGCTTCAAATGTCATATTTAATTGTTGATTTGCATCATTGTATAACTTTTCTTGAGTCTCTCTGGTTTCTGTGGCGATTGTATCTGTATTGGTTGCAATGTCAATAAATTCTCTCGGTATGCCCTTTTCATCATTTTCGGTGGTTGTGTTGTTGTTGGTGTGTTTGGTTTTGTTAGGTTATGTATTGAAAAACTGTCGTCGTGATCATATTTATCATTGAACTTCTGCTTCTTTCTTTTCAGTATGTTTTTAGTTAATATTATCATTAAATATACTTATATTATTATTATTAACTTTCACCGCTTCCTGCTGCTCGACTTGGAGGTTTTGCCATCTTTTTGGTAGTTGCTCCTATTACTTGTTGGGGTTTGGCGATATATTTGTAATAAACTAAGTCGCCATACATTTGGGCGATTTGGTCTGTTATTGGTTTCTTTACATCGCCTTTTGCATTCTTGTGAAGTCTTGCTAGATGTGAAAATTCTTCAAACTCCGTTGCCTTAATTAGTTGTGTAATATATAAATCATTTACTACCTTGCTCATTTCAATCAAATTATTGGCAAAAATTCGTGGTTGTCTGTCCCTTACTGAGT